TGGACACTAAAAATAATTTGTCAGCATGTAGCAAAAAGAGGAGATAATAATAAATGATTGCTGCTTATCCATGAAGGAGTCATGTTAAAATAATATCAATTTCTCTTAGTGACAGTGTCATTAGAATGGTAATCCAAGGACTCCACTCCCTCATGTCATTTCTGAGGGGGACAGAAAATTGTGAAAGAGTGTATAGACAGAGGGTGGGTGGTGTCATGGCTAAGAGTGGCCTGGAGCCACAGTGCCAGGTAGACAGCCTGGCTTTGGCACCTATAACCTTTGTGGACAACCTGTATTTGTCTCACCTGTCAAGTGGGGATAATATTTCCTACATTATACAGTTGCTGTCATAATTACCTGGCAAATAATAACTGCTCGGTAAAGATCAGCTATTATTATTACCGAGTTGTTTGAATGATGCTGTCGCAAAATTGTTCAATAATAGAGCATTTTAACCAAAGAAATCTATCATTTTGGAGTATTTGAATTAGGCGCCATCTTATTTGACGTTTTTATCAATCATTTTAGAAGAAGAGTAGACCAATGGCCAATGAGTCTATATGCAAATGAATAATGCTCTACAGACCAGAGAATCAGGGTTTAGAGGGATCACGATATGATGGAATTCTTAGGCAAAATAGTCAAGTATAACTTTCTAGGGATAATAGCCTATGTATGGCTATGAAGCCATTACAATTCATGTTAAAGTAACCTGGAGATTATAAATCTTAATATAGTCCAACATTATACTTGAGTAACAATAAACTCATTTAACTTCAGCCTACAATATCAGAAGTATATGAACCCGATAATACAGTCCCAGCATACTTGGCCCTGGCCATGTCAGTTAGAGTGTTCCATCCAACCCTGGGCCACATTTGAAGAGACACTGATAGACAAGAGACCCTGTATAGGAGGGTGTCCCATGGGAGCTTGCCAGCTGAGGACCAGTTAGGGAAACAGAGAATGAGGATTGGAGAAAAGAGGCCAAGACTTGAAGGTGATTTGCTCAAGAGAAGCAGACACTGAATTCATGGACTTAGACTTCAGTCTATATTCACTCTCGGCCCTTCACTGCCTCTTCACACACGTCTTGTTCCTGCTCCCAGGAACTGGAACTGCTCTGCCCAGAATCACACTGATCTCCAAGGGACACCCCCAACCCTAACCTTTCTTGAACCCTTGGGAGTATCTCCCCTTGTTGATCACCATCACCTTCTATCATGCTCTCAGCTTCCATGACACAGTAACCGGTCATTTTCTTCTTCCCTTTTTCTCACCACACACGTGCTCCCTGTCGACCTTAATTATGCCCTGGCCTTCCTGTCCATCTCTGTGCTGATGTCTCCCAAATCTATCACTTCTGGCTGCATATTCAGTCACCTCTAAGAAATCTCCTCTTCCACGTGGAGACTCAGACTCAAAATAAAAAATGAAAAAGTGATGGACCAGCCGAGTGGCATGATGGTTAAGAACTGGCTTGGGATGCCAGAGGGCCCCGGTTTGGATCCCACTATGAGGGCCAGTGACACTGCCCTCCACAGCTAAGATGCTGAACAACAGCTTAACCTGGAGCTGGGCTACCATGAGTCACCAGCGACGGCGTAGGCTGCAGCCCCTGCTGAAGTAGGTTGCCATGGGCTACATGTGTAGCCAGCAGCCAGCGTGAGCGGCCAGCAGCCGCAGTGAGCGGCCGTCCAGAAGCCGGTGACTGATCTGCCTCACCCAGGAAGAGCACAATGATGGTGCCAACTTGGGCCAGTGAAGCAACGTCCTCCACAACTAGACTGAAGAACAAAACGACAGCAACTTGTCTGTTCCCCTTTCCCCAATTCCCCAGCACTGTTCCCATCCCCCCAATTCCCCAATAAAAAAAATCTTTAAAAAAAAAAGAAAAAGTGAAACCAAGATGTAAAATACAGAAAGAATCCTTCAAGTAGGCTTCTCATAACTATATGAATAATATCGTCTTACTCCTTTAAGCAAATGACCCTTCCTTCCGTTGAATATTTTATCTCCAACGCTCTATCATTTTGTTTTGCCCAGAGGACAACATAATAAAAGATGGATTTGATTCCCAGTGGGATCTTTACCAACCCACACCCCTCAGCAAAGTGGCACACAATGTCCAACCAGCACCTAATCAAGTCCTGTTTCAGTTGCAGTTTTATTAATTCAAAATAACTCAATTCTGGCAGCAGTGACAGTCACTCAATTGAAACTTAGCTAAGTCACTTGAAAAAAACCTTTAACCAGGAGTTATTAAAATAAGAAAACTCGATTTTTTTGTGTGTGGCTTTTCTCTCCTTAAATGGTTACTTGTGCTTTCAAATTTTCCATCATAGACTAGCCATTGTAATGGCTGTTCTGGTCTTGCCCCTTGGCTTACAGACATGGAAAAATGAAACCTCCTCCCTCTGGCAGCAGCATCATTCTTTGGAAGCCTTTGCTGAACTTCTGGCTCTCATTCTGTATTTCTGCTGCTTTCACCATCAATGTTGCACAAGATAGATGGCGTGCCTCTAACATCATCTGTGAAGGGCCCCTCCTGAGCTGTTCTGCAGTCATTGGGACAAGTAGTTTTTACTTGACAGTTTCCAAACACCTCCAAAAATGATCTGATGGGCCCTGTCACCATTCCATTCTCAAGTACATCCAGGGAGATGCAGTCCAGCTCTGGAAGGGTTTCTTCTCATTTCCTCTCCATGCTTTCTGCCAAAGGCTCCTCCAAAGCCCAGTTCAAACGCTTCCTACTCTCAGCAGCTCTCTCTATTGTGCTTGATCAAATCACTATACGATGCCTAGCATTTTGTAACACACACAGCACTCTGCATGGCCATGAGCTCTAGTTTGGTTTGCGCTCAAAGTGGTAGAATTGCAGCAAAAGTGTATGGTTTATGCCAAAAGGCCAGTTTGGAATTCAGTTCTTTCTCATAAACTAATAGCTACCACTAGGCTGATGCTAAAATAAGGCTGTGCTATTCAATGCCACCTGAATTCACTTTAATTTACTGAACTTACATAAGATCCCAGCACTGAAATCAGGGCCTGGGTTATAAAGTTGGTAGAAGACAGCTTACACCTTCAAAAAGCTCATGGGGTTAATCACAACTGGTAAAAATGTGGTATGATAAAATGCTGTGTTTGAGGTATGAACAAGGGTCTTTGAAAGCAACTTTTCCATTTTTTCTAAGCACAATCAAGATCTTACCATATGAAAAAAAGAAAAAGATAGATACTCCAGGTAAATGGAATGAGACAAGCACACCATTATTCAGCTTGTGAAGACCATTTAAATATAATACTATATCATGGAAAGTGGACTTAAAACCATTGTCAAGTTTTTTGCTTGTAAGTTTGTTTTATGATGTGTCATATTTTATTTGAATACTAGTAAATATATCTTCTAATAAGTAAACACAATGGCTATTTCCATGATATTGAACTTCTCTAAATACAGGTGGTGCCAAAAAAATTTATACTCATTTTAAGAAAGGAAAAAAATCTATTAAAATTGTAATACTCAATATATACCGATAACAAAAGATGAATGAGTACAAGTCATGTTTTACTTCTGCAGTTACAAGAGGTGCTCAAAGTGATTACCATCAGCATCCAGACACTTCTGATTACGGCAGACTACTGCTTGAGCAACGTTGACCAAAGTGTCCACTTATATACATTTTTTTGAAACCCCTGGTCTAAAGCAAGATTTTTTTTTAACCCATAAAATTATCCCTCAGAAACAAGGGAATTCATATATTCAGGACCTCACAAAGCCTCTCAAAGTACAAGAAGCTTTCTCTCCTTAGTTTTGAAAAACAAAAGTGTTATTTTAAAAAGATGTTGTTAACCTCAAACAATCTCAATCAATGCTAGTTTTTTTTTAAAGAGGAAATGATGAAAAGAGGGGTAACAAAATTTTACAAGGATAAAGTATTTTTTCTACATCCTGAAAGTTACAAGTGTTGGATGCTGGAAGTCTTTGCAAGCAAGACTGCTAAAAATCACTGATCACCTTAAAAAGAAAAACACTAAAGCACTGTTCTGTGGAGAGGCAGGATGGAGGATAAAGGTCCTAATGTTATCAGAGTTGGTACTTGTCACTTCAGAAAAGATTTCTAGTGAAAACATCATATGTGGATTCAAAAGTCTTATATATTAACAAGGTAAATGGATATGTAAAGATGATGTGTTAGGTGACTGATTTTATTAATGATGAAAACTAGATGTTAAAATATATGTAAATAGTTTGAGTAAATTGTTTTATGAAGTGTGAAAGTGGAAACTAATATTTCTAAAATTAATACAATAGTTTATAAACTATGTAATTTTTATATGAATGCATAATTACATTCATAAAGTCAGTAAAATAAGTAGCTGAGTAACTTTACAATCTACAGCCCTAAAAAGTTGCATAGGAAAGTTAGCAAAAACGCTTTTGTAAATAGTAGCTTACTTCATATTTTGGGTTGCCTAATTTTCAAGCAAATTTTATTGCATAGCATTATATACAGTGTCGCTGGTGGTCAATATTATAACAAACAGAAACTTCTGTTTTACAAAAAGAAAAATTAACTAAAATGAACACAAATTTCAAAATCAATCCAAGACTCAAAACCATGATTCCTAGTATCAGGCAAAATATGTATTAAATAGAACCATGATACCGAAACATTTTCTGATCTCTTGTTTATAGAGAACAAACATTAAAAAAAATAGAAGTTATTCTTCTACTTCTGCATTATTTAAATGATATGAGGCCAGTCAGCCCAGATAGTTCTTTGTGTATATAATTCAGTAGATTAAATATCCTTAAACGTTAAGATTTTGCAGTGAAAGAGACACGAAATATAGCTGCTCAAACACCATGGGTAGATGGTATATTATAGATGTGCAGGGCAGCGTTAGGGGATCACTCCTACAAAGCACGACTTCCAGCTTGGCCTGCCTAACTGGATCTGAAAATGCGATGATTTATTAGGCTTCAGAATACATACCTCTAAGTAGTCTGTGGAGCAGTTTATGTGGTTTTCCAATTCAAATCCTAAAAATGTGTAATTCACCGTGTTGCCAGTTGTTGCTTGGATGGTCCAGTTGCAACGCTGATTCTCAGAATAGGGGTTCGGATAATGGATACTCTCTAAGATGCCATAGGTTCGATTCACAATCAGCACGTTCTTACACGCTGGAAAAAATAACCGTGACTGTTAAGAACCACTATCATATAATCATAATTGCTCCAAGATGTGTGTGCAATTTTCCTTTAAGAAAACATCAAGATTGTGTGTGTGTGTGTGTGTGTGTGTTACACCATTTTTACAGTGATAGGGTCTCCTTTTAAAACAAATGTAAAATAACACGTAAGTGAATCCATCAACTTTAAAGTGTCATGAAAATTGCCTGTGTTACAATGGGTATCCAGTTCCTGTGCCCTGGTGGAAAGCAGCACAACTCAGCACTACTCAGGGACCCATCAAATTTCTTCGCTTCAAGAAATGGATTGAACATTCTGTGCCTCTGTTTTCCTAACTCTAACATTTGGAAGGGACAGCAATCCTGACCTTTATATTCAACAGTTTAAAAACATGAAGCTCTATGTGAATGCTAAAAATGAGTAACAACACGGCTTTGTGGAATTCAAAAGTCAGCATGAAATTCACAATAAAGGCTCCGTTATTGCTGTAGTTAGTCATCAGGAAGTACCAAACGAATAGAGGGAATGTAAAGGACCTGAAGAGGGGATAGAGCTACGTATGGCTAGGCCTGGGGGTCTGTGCCACATGCAGCCAGACTTAATGACCAGAACAAGGCAGACGCATGCCTTTTCTCAACTCTTTTTCATACGGTCGGTATGATGTGCAATAAAAGAGAATGGGAAAATGTATGTTATATTGAAACAGTTTTCTCTGAAGAATGTGGTTCATAGGTGCATTTCTACTACCACGTTAGTTCATGGCAGGTGGCTGGAACACCATTTATAAACTTTGGTTTGGAAGAGTCTTCAAAAACTTCCTTTGCCGGATAATGGGCATACTCCAACTATTTCTCTCTGAAAGTTTTTAGGTCATGTTTTTATCCACAGAGGGTTTTTAAAGAATGATTTTGTTGTGGTAGGTGCCTGTCAGAAGTTACACCTGTGAGGCAGACAGGTGTCGTGTGCCTCAATGATGACAAAACGGGGCAGAGGAAAATGCATTCCATTAAACCATATGGACTGCCCACAGTGCTCAGAAATTACACTATCTGTAAATCTTCAATTTCAAATGGCAAATCATATGGGAAATCTCACAGCTTAGCTCTGATTTTACTTCTAAGGACCTATCTCCCATGTACACTAAGTTACTCCTTCAGTGTTCTGAAATTGTGAGAGAAAAATAAAGTATCACAGGAATGAAAAGAAAAGAATGGGACCTTCAATAAGCAATCTGACTGTAACCAAGAAACAAATTATCGCAGCAATAATAAAATTAGAGAAGTGATAATATGCTCAACCAATCATATCCCTGCTAGAATTTGGGAGAGCTTTTTACACACTAATGATGAATTTCTGAAGAACAAATCTATGTATCATTAAAATTTAGTATTCAAAACTATCTAGAATTCAGCCTAACTCCCAATGTAAGTGAATGGGAATCTTCAAATTCACATCTAATCAAGGTTAAACATTAATACTCTCAACTAATCCAAAGGGATATTATATATTCAGATTATGATTTTATGACTTTCAATTCCTTTTTTAGGCAACTGTGTCAAAATTATAGATAAATTTAGATTCCATGGGCCAAGGAACTGTACTTTCAAAAACACAAGTAAAGTGTTTATTAAATAACAGAAATTCAAGGAAACCTTGTTTTCTTGAATGTCCATTTTGAAACTAACTTTAGAAAGTATTTCATTCTAGAGCTAGAACAAAGCTTTTGCCATCACCTAATTTAATCTTTTTTTTAAGAGAAAAAAAAAATCATGGAACCCTAGAGAAGAAAAGTGACCTTCAAGGGTTAGGGGGTTGGACAAACCCCTGGGGCCCTGGACTTTCTGTTCAATACTCTTGTAATTCCACCAGGTTGCCTCATGGGAAAGCAGATTTTAAAATGGCATCCCTACAAAGACCAGATTTTTCCACAGTAAAGAATGTGCCTCTTAGGCCGGCCAAGTGGCTCAGTTGATTAAGCACTCAAGAGTGCGAGCTCTGAGAAATAGCAGTTCGAGTCCCGGCCCGAGCTGAGTTGCTACTAGCTGCCAACAGGTGGCAGGATGGCTTAGCTAAAAAAAATAAATAAATAAAAAGAATGTGCCTCTTCTACATAGGATTCACAAGGACCATAGTTTCCCTTAATAAAATTAAGGTGTCTTTTGCAGGACAAGACTAAAAAATAGTGCGGGAGATACTATGTGCAATGGAATAATGTCTAATTAGAAGATTGTAACGTTTGATACAAATGAAAACCCATTAGCTCTTAACCCGTGACCCTGCTCTTTAGCTGAATCGCAACTACCTCAGCATGTGACTCCTCTGAGTTCCTACAGCTTACCACATGCGTTAGTTATATGATAAATGTAATGCATAAACATTTCTCCCTCAAACTGAGTTAAATTTTTCCCAAAAGGAGGTGAGATTTATTGTAGTGGTTCAAACCAATGGGTTCTACTTATTTCAGTTCGTTTCGTTCATCAAGAGATTGAAGACTCATGACAGGCACTGAACAGCCAGTATGCATACTTACTCTGCTGGTATTTGGCCAGGAAACCACCTCCTTGTTGACCTTCATCTGTCCTCAGTTTTAAAAACATGCTGTCTCCACTAGAACGAATGAGAGGCGGTTTATCACTCCCACAAAGCTGAGTTAGCAGATGAGAGCTGGTGCTCGGGCCATCATATACCTTTAATAAAACATTTTAAATGTCAGATGATTATGGCTATAAACATTATGTAAAGGCCTCAGTAATACTTCAGAAGTGCAAGAAATACATATAAGACATAACAGAAGAATAGCCCTGAATCAAAATATTGGATCGTTGGGAAAGTCATGATGTATTTGTCTATGTTTTTTAATGCAAAAATGCATCATGACTTTCCCGATGACCCAATACCTTTAAAACTTATATTAAAGTGTCCATAAACTTGAGCCATGAACTTGGGCCATTTAACCATGGCTGTGTATAATAGTGAGGGTGTGAACCCAGGCTGAAATCTGAAAAATGAAAATAAAAGACTAATACATATTTTTGAAACTGTAGCTGTTATCAGTAGTCCTCCTTGCTTTTTTATTTCATAGCTTATAATTTATGACACTTTAATATGTTTTTCATTTAGATTGTTTTTTAATGGACAAGGCAGAATTGCTGGTACTATGAAAAGCCCTATTTGGATGCTTCAATTATCCTCTCTAATTCATCCATATAATCTTCTCGATTGTTATTTTTCACTTCATATGTAGAAAGTACATAGATAATAATTATGATAAATCTCATAACCTTTTTCAGGAGGCTTTTAACCATATTTTAGTAGTCCAGATTTTAAATACTTCATAGTATACCAAGTCATTCAGTAATACAGGCTATTCTTAGAAGGCTGTCACTTTCAACAAATTTTCTATCAATATTTAATTTTGCTTAAAATGTTTATGCGGATGTTTAAACAAGATGGCCCCCTTCCCTAAATGTCAAAAATAAACAAAAAATAAAAAGAAAAATGAAAATAAAAATAAATAAAAATAAACACATTTATGCATGTTGGGCGAGGCAGGAGCAGTGAAACCTTATACATACAGCCAGATAATCTAAAGTGCAGTTTGGGTGATGCTCCAAGTGAAAGTCTTCAAATTCCAGTTCAAACGGGCTGCCATGGCTGGACTGCAACCACCAGTAGCATTCGGAGCTGTGGTAGTAGGGCATGGGGTAGTTGGGAGACGTGAAGGTGCCAGTGGGTGTGGTGAGATTCCCCCCGCAGCCTACAGGAGAAACAGATGGAATGAGGCATACGCTTTCCTTTCCGGTACAACTGACTCTACTTGTCTAAATCAGGCTGGTGCTACTGTTGCTCCCCTTTAAACCAAGTTGCAAAGCAACTACATCCCCAAAAAGCAGCTAGCCTAGAATCCTAATTCTTGTCGGTGCACTTTTCTCTTCCTAACCAAGACGACCAGTCTGATGAAAGATACTGGGGAGCCAGAACATTTCCCCTTACTTTGTCCTTCAAAAACAAAAGGCTGCTGTTAACTCAGAAATATTGATCATGTTGAAGTTAATTACAAATAGTAATCACAAAACATAACTGGAAAAAAAAAATGAATAAGAGCATGGCAGTCCAAGAACCAAGAAACCAATCCAATTGGACCCTCCAATCCAATCCAGGATAGCTCTGTGCTACTTACCTGTTAGTGATCCATCCCAGTGAGCTGAGAATCCAGACCTTGAGTCAAGTAAGTCAGTTTTAAATTGTAACCATAGTTTGTTACTGTGCGAGATGATTCTTGGAGGTAGATTTGAGCCACAGTATTTTCCCAGGGAGGGTGAAGTTTCATAGCCTCCATCTCTGTAACAAAATACAGATATCAACAGTCATTAGGTTATTGATAACACTACCGTATAAACAGTTAACATTATTTGAACTTTGAGATCACAGATTAGCATGCATCAAGCAACTCTCTCAAACATACTCTACAAAACACAATCTCAAGTTTTGAATTTATTAATTGTATTTGAATAACTTAATAAAAAGTAACCATCATTTATGGATGGCATGACATTTTTTATAATCAACTGCGAACTGAGATAAAGTGCTTAATCTTCTCTCTCTCAAATGAAGTGTCTGTCAAATGTGTCACAGAACACCAAGTAAAGAAACTATAATTATTAATAGTGTAAACAAATGCTGCTTAATTTTACAGAGAAACCTTAAATGTTTTCCTTCTAATTTGAAATTATTCAAAATTTAATATATCATATATGACATATTTAGCAAAATTTTAAAATGCTTCTTTTCCCAAAAACTTTAGGGGGGGTCTTAAATATAGTTTATAATCTGTAGCTTTTACATGCCTAATAAATAAATAAATAAAAAGGATACACTCGACATTAAAGTCCAATGATTAATTGCTATAAATTAAGAAAAGTATATTATAATATTTTAGCATGATATGGTATAACTGTGATTTATTATTTTAGTACCTTACTTTATATCATAGAATAAAATTTACTATAAAATAGTATAAGATTCCAGGCTTTTGAAATGCCAAATAAACTGACACAGATGCACACCAAATTGACTAGGCAAATTTAACTTAATAAAATGATCTGGGTAGATTTCAATAGATAATTTATCTTTCGTGCAAATATAACTTTTAAACACATTCTTTCAAAGTAGCAAAGAATTGAAAAAATGCTTTGCACTGAAATTCACAAGCCTAGGCTTTAATTATTTGAACACAAAAAACTTTGTGAAAACCTTAAGGTAAAGTTGCTATCTTAGCATCATTTTGTGATATAATCAGACAGTAAACAAGCCTAAAATTTGAACTGTTTTTACATAAAGAAAGGAGATATTCGACAACAGCAAATATCTAATTTCAGAGTGGTAGTACATTTGTTTTTTATGCCCAAATAAAATCTGGAGTTTATTTTCAAATATTCCCAATAAAAGAATCGCTTCAAAATAACCACTGACTCTTACACAGTTTTATAGTTTTCTTCTGTTAAATCAGGGTCCAAATGACAAACTTCATGTCATGCCAGAAAGAGTACAACAGGGAGCCTTCCATAGAATTTCCATATTTTTTCCCTAACCTTTCCAGGAAAGATTATGAATGAAAACAAACAACGAAAAAGATTGTGATAAAATAAAGGCGCTTACTTGATGACCACAAAATCTGCTAAGCATTCTCCACCGATGGCCTCCTCCAAGGAGAAATTTGTGAAGTGCAGTGCAATCTGTTGGCTGGCGTCCACCGTGATCCGATAAATGCATTGCCAATTGTTGGGGTAATTATTAGGGAAGTTTGGAGACATGAAGCTCCCAGATAATCCTGTATAGTCTTCCAAGCATACTGTGAAAATCAATAGACCACAAGAGAAAACAAATTGAAAATATTATGCTACATTTATAAGACATTCAGTAATATATGCTTGGTTAATTTGTGTCAGTGTACTTGATTTTCAACAGGCCATTCTGAAATGTTCAAGGAATGATTTCCTTTCAAAACTAAGGTTTTGAAACCTCAAAAGCAAACATAATTGTTAATAGTAAACCTAAGCTAAGTAGTGGAAATTTGTTATATATAGTGTAAATGAACCACTTTTTATGTTCTTAAAAGTATTATATTTTTTTTCTAATTCATGGAAATTACCATAAACATTACAAAGGAGGTTCCACTACAGAAATCATAGAGGGGGCCTAGAAATAATTCAGTTCTGTTCTTCTTTTCATAAGCTTCCTTTAAAATGGTTTTCACCAAAGCATGTGTTTATGAGACATGACAAAGCAGTTACCTCCACCAAGCAGTAAACAGTAGGACATGAGACTCGGGGATCAAAGTGACCTTACACCAATGCCCAGCTCAAACACTGACAAGCTATGCAAACTTGGACAAGTTACTTCCCCTCTCTGAGCCTCATCTTTAACATGGAGATAACTATCTTTGAGTGTACATACAAGGCTTAGAGACAATGCAAGTAAAGGTTTTGACACATAGTATATGCTCAATAAGTGGAAGTTATCATCAATATGTTTCAAGATAGACCATAAAAGAGTAAAAAAAAGCAGAGCATAAATTATGAGAAATAAATTAGATCACTTATATAAAACATTTAGGTAGTACTTGGATAATTTTACATCCTAAACATTAACTGTTCTACTTTAAGAGTTTAGGCTTTACCTGTCCAGTCCTTCAGACTCTATATTTGCTAACCACCCCAGTCCATCTCCTATGCTCTCCAAATCTGAGGTATTTTCCAAAGAAAATCTCGTTTCAATGCATTTTAAAATATATCTTCATTTGTATCTGGTAATAACATAAATTTAGGGTCCAGGAGCAGACACAAGTCTCCAAGTGAAAGGTTTTGGGGGAGAATGAGCTATTGTATTTAATCATGAGTAAAAAACAAAAATGAAGATGTTTAGGTATGCTATTTCCCCAGTTGCTGTTGTACTATCATACTCAGAAAAGAACAGAGGAGCCACTAGTATTAAGAGCACAGAGTTGCATAGAAAATATTACAGGTTCTGCTATCTATATATAGCTTTCAGAGTTCTTTGAGATTCACATATTTGACTTTATAGAGAGAAAATATTCATCAAATATTTGGTTGACTCAATTTTAAGCAGCAAGCAATCAAAGCTCTTCTGTATTGAAGGAATTGACAGTGGTACTTAACTGCAAAGAAGAATGTCAAATACTTTCCTATATTTTTCTACAGTCTGCCAAGATATTTCTTCAAGGGGGAGGGAAGGAAGGAAGGAAGGAAGGAGGGAAGGAAGGAAGGAAGGAAGGAAGGAAGGAAGGAAGGAAGGAAGGAAGGAAGGAAGGAAGGAAGGAAGGAAGGAAGGAAGGAAAGAAAGGAAAGAAAGAAAGGAAAGGAAAGAGAGAGAGAGAGAGAGAGAGAAAGAAAGAAAGAAAGAAAGAAAGAAAGAAAGAAAGAAAGAAAGAAAGAAAGAAAGAAAGAAAAGAAAAGAAAGAAAGAGGGAGAGAGGAAGAAAAGAAATGGGAGGAAGGAAGGAAGAAAGGACAGGGAGAAGGCAGGGGAGTGAGGGAGAGGGACAGAGAGAGAGGGAAGTGAGGGTAGAGATGGTAGATTAAGTATTTCAGACCCAGTAATGAGTATTAATTACTAAGATAAAAACTGGATCACATGGACATTAAATGAAGGCTATGACCCAGTCTTCCTGAGCTGACGGGACTGACAGATTCACTGACCATCCCAAATCAAATATCTAGAGCAATTACCTATTCTTGTCACTTATTCTTAAGGAGATAACGTTCCTTGCTTACCCACTCTACTCCCATAGGAGAAATATAATTGCATTGAATATTTCTAATGCAACTTGCAATTAATCTGTAGGAGAATGGCTTGTATAATCAGGTTCCCACATAAAGGAACCTAATTTAACAAAATTTTTGCGAAGTCGTGATGAGCAATTTCCCTGTACCTTGTCCGTATGTAAATCATTATTGCAGTATGATGGTGGTGGTTTGTTAATCCCTACTAAAATGCTGATTTACATATCAAGCTTCTTTTGCATTGCTGTCACAAAGGTGAACACAGTTCGTAATGTATTCAAATGATCTTCACACTGTTCACTGTGTCTAAAATGCTTTATCTAACAACATTCCCCCTCCCCCAACACAGTCTTTAATAAATAAACTCTTACCCATCATTTAAGGTCCAATTCCAATATCACTCCCTCTGTGAAGCCTTTTCTAATCAAGTAGAATTAAATTACTTGTGCTCAATAAAACTTAATGCAAATAACAATTTGAGCCCCAAACATATTTTATTGTGACTGTTTTCATATGAGTATATGTCCTCTAACAGGCCTTGAAATATGAATAGGACCTTCTTAACCAGTATTAACTTTCACTTACCATAGTACCGGCTCAGGTCACATCTAATAAATAATTATTAAAATTATATTACATAATGCATGGAAAACTGAGAGGGGTGGACAAGTATCTAATTTCCTCTCACTCTCTCTGCCCCATCCTATTACCCTCTCCACTTCTCTTACCTCATTTTTCTTCTCCTTCCTTTCCTCCCTCCTGACTAGGATGAGATTCTTGAATATTTTATAGGATTTATTAAATCTAAATTATAGAAATCTCTGCTTCTAGCCATGACAAGTAACTAGTACTAGACTCCACAATGACTATAATAGTGTAATTTGTCTACCCGCCCTTTTCTTTATGCAAGTTTAGCTACACCTTTTAATTATATTGATATTATGAACTCCACCTTACTATTATTTCTTGCTTTGAACCATTAATCAAATTATGATATATTAATACAATGGAAGGCTACTGGTCAATAAAAAGAAAAGAACTACTTATAAATAGAACGATATGAGCAAATTTCAAAAGCATTATTCTAAGTGAAAGAAGCCAGCCCTAAAACGGTGTTCCCACTCATATTTGCTTTTGAACAGGCAGAACTAATCAATAGTGACAAGAATCAGGTCTGCAGCTGTTGAGATGGAAGATGTAGAGGGATAGATGAAAGGAACACCAGGATGCTATCTGGAATGATGATAAAAGTGTATGATATTTTTGAATGGAGTAGTGATTACATGGGGATACACATTTGTTAAAAACTATAAATTAATTTTACTTTATGAAATTGCAAAATAAAAATCTATGTTTTATTAAAAGTTAAAAGATCTGTGCAAAAACAGGTTGAGTTCTTAAAGGAAATACAATTAATAATTCAGATACCCAATAAATAATAAGTAAAATTAACATAGAAAAATGGAAAATATTTTTGAAGGTATAGCTGCTATAAATATTAATAGATAATTAATATTAAAATTTTATTGTAGTTCTATGAGATACACATATTTAATTTCACAGAGAGAAAAACAATGGCTCTCTGAACTCTATGTGTTTGTTTCTTAAAGGCTGGTAACGCCTCTTACCGAACACTGAAATCTGTACAATGTTTGTTTTCTTCCCTTGACATTATAAATGGCTCTTTGTGGAAATTAAATTAACATGGAGAAATACTACTGGTAGGCTTTGGTTTCCTATTTTGTTTTGCAATAAAGCACAAATAATTAAAATTGAATATATTCCCATAAAAGGATGTACATGTGTTGCCATATTTCTTACTTCATCAATACAAAATGCAAACATAAAAATGCCTTTTGTTTTTATCTTATGTTGCCAAGGGAAAACTCATATCCAGTGGCAGTTTACTTTTTATGATGCTCTAACAACATTTACAAAGAGATAAGGGGAAAAGGTACATTTCTTCCATCCAATATATTCAACTGAACTAGCAATAGAAAAGCATCTCTCTGAAGAGCAAAGACAACTCTTGACAGGCCTCACATATCTTTCTTTCTGACCAACTTCAAAAAAAAAAAAGTTAAGAAAGGAAAGAGAAAATATACAATGTCCTCTGTGGACCATTATACAATCACAAAACTCTATCTTTCTAAAAATCATGATGCACCTTTGCCTCCACTAAGCATTTGCCAATAAGTTTTAGTAACAGCATTCAGCTCATTATCAAAGGAGAAAATCCGAAACATAGATAGTCCTCCAACCCACAAAGCAATGATGATATATCAGTCCCATACAATGTGGGTGACGGGAATAGAATCAAATGATCCTGTGGATTTGAGAATGTATCTCTTAGGGAGGCCCTAGACTGTGGGTAATGGCCCCACCATACCTCTCTGCTTTGCCTTATGTGATAATGTATGTGGTTATCCAATTACATTAGCGAGCCATCTATAGGCGATGCTTTCTAAAATCATTTATGAGATGTTTTAGTCTGAATGAATCCACATGACCTCAGAGTTTCTAGGTACGTGCTAAATAATAGTCAAACCAGGAACCATCATCAGCTTCTATCGGCATACTTGGTTTAACAATCTTCAAAGTGAAGACTTGAGGGAAGGTACAATAGAATTACAGGTCCAATTTTTCCTTTAGGAAAGAGGAACCCTCCCTAACCCAAACCTAACATTTTGCTCTACAATTCGCTGCTAGGCAGTCACAGTCACTGCTTTTCCTCGCAGATGACTAATTCAAATGAATATGAAAATAAACTAACTCACTAAAGCAGCTATTGTAAAATTGTACTTGGATATCAGTCATTATATTTTAAACCTGGCATAGTCATCATGCTTTACAGCTATTATGTAATTTTCACATAGAATGTCTCATTGTATCTTCCCCAACTATGTGAAACAGCCACTTACAACTTCCACTTTTTAGAGAGGTACGTACAGATGAGGGATCTGAGACTCCTGGATGGTAAGTGTTAAAATCACTTAGTTGGGACATGCCAATGGGAAAATGTGAGCCCAAGTCCTCCCTTTCCAAATCCTGTGCTCTTTAATGATCCCTGGTTTCTCTATGCAGGAAATGTCAATTTAGAAACGGTGAGTAGAAGGCTAGGAATATCACAATTCAATGTTTGTTTGTTTGTTTGTTTGTTTGTTTGTCTGTTTTTATCATTTTCATTCTAAGGACTAAGAAATAATAATACGTTAAATAAATCTGAACTGGGGAGTTGCTGGGGTACCCATATAAACAACAATATGAGAAAATACTGACCAGTAAGAAAGTAAATCATGAAAAGATCAATAGACTTACTAAAAAATCCTTTGCAGAGGGAAACTACCTGAATCTCACTGCAGAAAATACAGAATTCAAGGCGGATGGAAAGAATCAGACATTCTTCTAAGTTAGTATCAGGTGGGAATCAGAACCAAGAACCAGAACCTTCAGCCTGGCTTGCACCACATCATGGGAAGTACTTTCTACCACGAGCAATTACAGTCGGATCCGCCATTACATCTCAGTTGTAATTATACAGTGATTTATGTGCTAAGAGTTGACCTTCAGAGTTTCTGAGGAACTGCAAAGTTTCACTAGAATCATTTTAATTGCTTGGTGGAAACCCACCCTAGACCTATTTGAGTTAGAATTTCTGGGTAAGACCCTGATACCTGAATTTGTAACAAGAAAATCCTACCCCAAGTTTCTTACGAACAGTAGAGTTTGGGAAACCTGCTCTACTGGATTTAAGTTTTAAAACAGATACACCAACTCTCTCTATTCGTTTCTTCTAGAGAAACCCTCTTTCACCTTTCTTGTAATCATTCCTTGATTTCTCTTAGATGCACCATCTAGCTCAGTCCGAGATGACTGATGAGAAACAGCACCAGACACACACTGGGGGGTCGGTGGGAACGCTGAGCCGGGAGTGAGGAGGCTGGGAAAGTGCACTAGGGCCCACTTTTAACCCCATACTGATGTGGTTCTGAAACTTCCTGTCCATTCCCCCAGGCAACTGTAAAGCTCTTCTCTTTACAGAAAATATGAAAAACCCACTATGTTTCTACCATAGCTCTGAATTGAATGTTAGTGGCCACACCATGCTCAGTTCATCTAGAACGTTTCCAACAGCTAATCTAGCCATAGGAAGACAAATGGATTGAATGTTGGGATTGGATTTGGGGGTTTGGCTGCTAGACCAACTGGCTGTGTATTGTTGAGAGGATAAATTCAATTTTGGACTTCAATTTCCCGCATTTAAAAAATATGGTAATTGGACTAGATTAGTGTCTCGAGCTTTCTGATGCACCATAAAAAACACATTTGTATCAATCACGCACACACAGAGATATTGCTCTTTTCATAAAGTAACACCAAACTTTGTATGATAAACCCTGATACTTACTATCCTATTGCATACTTTCAACAAATGCAAGTTTGTTAAATGCAAATTCACACCTAATAAGTTAATTTCATGACCCACTAATGAGTCATGAATGTTGCAATGTTGAAAAATACTGAACTATAATAGATGTTATAGAGGTTTTCTTTGATTGTTAAAGTAGAAAATGCATCAAGTACATTTCTCTATATCTTATACTTTTAAAGTTTGCTCTTGGTAGGATTATATTAATGAATATGCAGCAGATGTTACTAGAATGTAAAATTACAGCTTAAATTAGTAAAGTTAATTAATCAATTACATTTGTAAGAAGAAAATCCTACCCCAAGTTTCTTATGAACCAGAGTGTAGGAACCCTACTCTACTAAATTTAATTTACAAATTAAATAAAGGTAAGTAATCTCACAGAATTGAAATGTTTCATACTTTAAATGAGCAAACATTTCAAACCCTGTCTTATGATCAGTTACGAAGAAGATCTCAAGAGTTTCTACCTGCAAACATTTTCCTCGTTAGTTTTTTGCTTCCATTTCCCCAGGCACATCTGGACGAAGGCAGATACAGCGCTGAGGGAGGGAGTCAAAGTAATGACCAGAAGCCAACCTCTCTCCTCCCAAACACATACTTAAAGGCTGACATCATAGCCCCATGGCATGTACTCCAGATGGAAAAGTAACTGGATTCAAAGTCAGGAAGCTGAACTTTTTTATCAGATGAAGACAGGAAAGAATTCAGCAAATTCACACCTGTTGTGCCAAGTAACTAGAAATCAAGAACCAAATACTGTCATTACTGCTTTGAAAATCACTTCTACTAGAGCAATAAATAAAATAGAATGAAGGCCAACGATTGAGCTTCCACTGATGCTTTTCCCTGATACTGTTTTATTAAGCAGACAGTTTAAAAACTACAATGACAACCAAAAAGAAAGCATCCCAACACTTCCCTCTTTCCAGGTGGGAGCCCACTTGGACTCAGGCTGCCTGGAGGGTTTGCCCACTGCCTGGCTGTCACCAGCCCCACAGCTGTCCCCTAAGGACTCTTCCCTGAGCCATCCTGCAGGGAAGGGCGGTCTCCCCAATTCATGAGAGCCTCACATCCTGCATTATGGGAAACCGAGACAGCCTTCTAAATGGTAAACTGAGTATGCCATATGGCTCCCTGGGCCCAATTATCTGATTGCTATTTAGAATATTTGACTGTTAGTCAGAACGATGAGTTCATCCAGCAGACAAGCAGGCAGGCGCACAGTGGCCAGTCAGGCTTGTCCAAGGGGCGGAAAGCAAACACTCCCTGGGCTGTGATTTCAGCCCCGTCTGGAACCAACAGAGGCCAAAGGAATGATTGTCACACAGGGAGGCCGACCCAAGAGTCTCTGAGTGTGCCACGCCAGGGTCGTCTTCTTTATCACTTCTTTTCTTCTCTTCATCAGTTTCCTTTTCTGTCCAGCTTGCTTCTCTCCTTTTTCTCAACTTGCTTTTCTTTTACCTATATCTTACCTTTCTGAATTTTTTTTTAATTAAAATTTAACTTTCACATCCTCCCTGCCAGATCATTTCGATGGCTCTTGGTTCTTACTGCACCATCTACTGCATTACAAGCTAGTGTGGTATTAGCAGCGCTGTTTTAGTGATCACAGAGATAGGTTTTCCTTTGCAAATTGTTACTAAGATGTATGGTACATGTTCAGGAGGCCCTGCCTGCATCATATATTATCTAAGACACAGCTAGTTTATTCAAGCAGCAAATTAAACTTGTGTTCATACAGTTGATTAGAGCAGGAAGACATCTCAAAGATCATCAAATCTAATCCTTTAATTTTACAGATGAAAAACCATGGCCCAGGGAATTCAAGGGACTTGTTCCAAATCCTAATCTAATATTCAATGTGGTTTCAGGCCAAATATATGAGGCAGAGAAAACTACAGAAGTATGGAAAATTGTGTGCGCGCTATAATTTCTTGAAAAGCCAATTTCGGTCACTGGGTGTTCACCGCCTGAACAAAGCCCAGTGACTATGTCAGTCGTAGAATATAACCGACTCTAACTGCTGGGGATTCCATTTCCATGTGCTTGAGCTGGATAATGAATTGTCTCCAAGAGAAGGTCCCACAGGAGAGAAATGTGTATGATCCTCTCACACTCAGGGTCCTGGAGAAATTGAAAGCCAGGCTATCAAAACATAGAGCTTGAATGACTGCAGAGAACAGCAGTTTTGCCTGACATGAAAAGTAGTGGTGAGCCACACAGAGGAGAAATGAATGAGAAATTGGGTAGGGATTTGGAGTGGGAGATTTTTTTTTAAATATTGATTGATTGATTGACTAATTTATTGGAGTGGGGGCTTTAAAAGATGAGTCCCTAGTGACCTCTGGGCATAAGACTGTGTTAGAGGGAGCGCATCTGGGCACAGGAAAAGCTCCCAGTCCTTTCTGAAGAGAGCATCCTTGACTCACACCATGCCTCTAGGGGCAATCCAGAGGCTGGGAAATGCTTGGGAAGCTCATATGTCTACTAGAGAGCCACACTAGATGGATAGCATGTTGGTCCATTCAATGTCTTTCTAAATACTATGCAAAAAGAAAACCCATATTCTCTAAAATGGGACACAACCTAGGTGGGCACATAAGCCTAAAGAAACATGACTCTCTTATAAATCTCATAGGCTTTGGGCCTGGGATATCTCCGGTTTACAAACAACCTCAAAGACCCTCCTTTCAAAGGATATTTGTTTCCTATGCTGCATTTACAAAGAGCAAAGCAATGATGAAAATTAAATAATAGGAAAAATACGATGAAAGGCATACATGCTAAATAGTTTCAATTTCATTAAGTCAAATTTAGAAATGTATATTTGCCAAGGAAACTTCCATTTCCCACCATAGAATTCCACGTAGTAGCCTCTTATTCTTATCTGTTGTTGTCCTTCTTTTAATTTCTTAATTTCAGTCTCTTTGATAGAAGAGATATAATTTTGGTAAAATTAAATCACAGAAAAGCTGTAAGAACTAGCTCCTGCATTCCTTTCGCCCAGATTTACTACATAATTGGATGCTGCCCCATTGCTTTCCCTCCCTGCTTTCTCCCTCTGACTTGCTCACTCCCTTAGTCTCTGAACCACTTGAGAGTAATTTCAAGACATCACATGTCTTTACTCCTGGAAACATCAGTGCCTAGTCCCTAAGAACAAAAACAATCTCTTGCAAACCACTACACAATTATCAAAATTAAGAAAATTTAACATTGATACAATACTCTTGTCTAATCATTACTCTATTATTAACAGGGGAGGCACTTAAGTTGCTATACTTCTCTCTAAATAGAGCTTTCATTGGGTGCCACAGGCTTGTGGATGAAGTATTGTCACAGTACTGCATTGTAATGGAGTAAATGAGACCAAGTATGCAAATGCTGTTTTGTTACCTGCTGATGCATTCGTTGCCTCGTATTCTATTAAAAAGCCTTCATAGGCGATGTCAGAGTCAGCCACAAACACCAGCATTAATGAGCTGCTACTGCTGGTAAGAGAGGGTGGGATCGATTTGCCACAATATCTATTTGAAACCAAGAAAGAACACAGGTTTAAACACTTGTAGTACACTTGAAATGATGTACCAAAAATTAGGACATGTAAATAATCATAATATCCTCTATGAACCTTTAAAAGCAAATATACTTCAGGCACAAACATGTACAAAGTTGCTGAAGGTCATTTTATTTGTGAATACTTTCCTGAAGTGGTTTTATGTGTGTGCCTAGCTGTGGGACTTATAATGTACAAGCAGTTTAATGAAATTAGAAATTACAATCTATACTAGGTTGTTATATAGCATATTAGGGAACATATTAATAGAAATGGAATAAGCTTACACAACAAAAGGAAACCATATATCATAAATTCAGAGACTCTAGACTCAGCTGTATCACTTAGAGGCATTATGACCTTGGACAGACCATTCAATCTCTATGTCTCAGTTTTCCCATCTCTAAAGTGGGACTGATAATAGTACCTATATCATAGAATAGTTTTGAAGATTTTATGAGTTAATATACTGTATCTAAAGAGCTAAGAACACTGCCTAGAATAGCAAGCCCTACATAGGTAAAATCTGTTATCTTTAAACACCTGGCCTATGCAGAGGTAAGTTTGATTACAAAGCCATGTCAAGTTTTTGCTGAATAAAAGTAATTTCATTCAGAAATATTATCCTAGTAAAACTAAAAGTAGAGTTGTAATAAACAACATTATGCCACAAGCTTTTTATTCTAGAGAAATACCTGTAAGAAGGAGTGACTAGAAAACAAAAATTCAAATCAAAGCACACTTGGTAAAATTAACCAAATGGAATAATGGGGGAAAAAAATAAAAACCAAAATAAGAGAAAGCATCGGATATGGGAACTGGATAATTTCTGAAGGATAAGAAAAAAATTGGTGTATAATACCAGTTCATTTTAAAATAGATTTGATATCTTGATTAAAAGAAAGATAGGTGAATTAATTAATATTTTAAATGTGTCTGTCTATGCCCATGTGTGCCAAATTGGGCAAGATCATTACAACAGTGTATGCCATTCAGCAAAAACAATGTATTTTACAATGATTATGCATCGAGTGCCATAAAAAAAAAAAGAAGAAAGTTTTAGAATGAAAGATTAAGACAAATAAGAAGAGGGAGACTAAACTTGGGAGAAAAGTTTAAGAAAATAATGGATGAAGAGAAAATGTTTATAAATGGATGAGAAAAAAATGAAATGCAAGAAAAAGAAATAAAAAAGATATTAGGAGCTTTCCACTTCCAAAAAAGATGTAATAACAGGGGCTAGATGTAAATTTGCACCTGAAACAACTAAAAATCTGGGCAAAATATACAAAACAATGACTTTCAAGATACCAGATATCAAGCAGTGAAGGGGGATGACTCTTCAGAGATGGGAAGCAAGTGACTTTAAAAGCCAAACTAGAAATGATCAAACCGTTTCCAAGTCACTTAACTGCATCCCAAAACAAAGCTCAAAAATACTTATAGGAATATAATAATGGTCAGTGCACAAAAACACAAAATTGAAAATGTCGGGCATTCTATCAAATATTATCAGGGATGAAAAGAAGGAGGAAAGTATAGTCCATACTGGGAAGAAAAACTGATCAACCAAAACATGGCAAGAAATGCCACAGATGACTGAATTAGCAATCAAAGACATTAAAATACTTATAACTGTACCATATGGATTTAGGAAGCTACAGGAAAAAATATTGTGTAAAGTAGAGATGGAAGATTTAAAAGATGGCCCAAATTAAACTTCTAGAAATGAAAACTACAATGTCTAAGATAAAAATAAAAATACACTTGATAGGACTAACAGTAGAACTGACATTACAGAACAGATAAGGGTACTGGCATACATAGTGATAGAAACTTTCCAGAACGAAACACACAGAGAACAAAGACTCAAAATCAAATGAACAGAGAATCAATGAGTTATTGGACAGTATCAAAGGGCCTAAGATACAAGTAATCAGAGTCCCCAAATGGGAAAGGGAGAGAGAATTTCAGGTAGTTCAAGAACTAATAGCCAAAAATAATTTGATAAAATTAGAAGTCCTGAGATCTGAGAAGCTCAACAAAAACATTATGCTGACTGATTAAAAAAAATCGGGGGAGGGGGGGAGGAGGGTACGTACAGCATGATTCCATTTTTATACAGTTCCAGAATATGCAAACTAATTTATAGTGATAGAAAGCAGGTTAGTGGTTTCCTAGGGAGGAGGACAAGGGGCAGAAGTGAGGAACCATCACAGGCAGGAAGGTGTTGGGGGTAACGGATGTGTGCATTACCTTGGTTTCAGTGGTGCCTTCATGGATGCACATGGATGCCCAGACTTAATTATGAAAAGCCAGTGCTACAGGGTAGTGATGTAGAAAAGGTCATTGAGAAGCATGTTGATCTCACCTCGTTTTTATAACATAAGGGTTTTTACCAACGTTCACTGAAGCAAGAAAATTTTTGTGTTACAAAAACCCTCAAAACGAAATAATCTCACCTCCCAAGAAATGTCTTAGAACCAGTGTCATAAATGTCCAGGTAGTCATTTGTGCAATTGTAATGAAACTCCATATGAAATCTCTTGAATATCAGATTAATCAGGTAGCCAGGTTGCACTAATATATGCCAGGTACAGTTAACACCATGGGGGTAGATATTTGGATGGCCAGGACTTTGAATGATTCCTGTGGGCTCTGTCAGAATTTTTCCACATGCTGTTAAAATAAAAATAATAATTGTCAGAAACAAGCAACCAACAAGCTACCTGAAATACAAAATAAAATAATCTGATCATAGCCTCTTAAAAGCTCAAAAAGAAAAAATATTCCTTATATGCCCCCTCAGGAAATCTAGTTTTACTCTTATTAATAGAAATCAATTAACTNTGGTTTCCTAGGGAGGAGGACAAGGGGCAGAAGTGAGGAACCATCACAGGCAGGAAGGTGTTGGGGGTAACGGATGTGTGCATTACCTTGGTTTCAGTGGTGCCTTCATGGATGCACATGGATGCCCAGACTTAATTATGAAAAGCCAGTGCTACAGGGTAGTGATGTAGAAAAGGTCATTGAGAAGCATGTTGATCTCACCTCGTTTTTATAACATAAGGGTTTTTACCAACGTTCACTGAAGCAAGAAAATTTTTGTGTTACAAAAACCCTCAAAACGAAATAATCTCACCTCCCAAGAAATGTCTTAGAACCAGTGTCATAAATGTCCAGGTAGTCATTTGTGCAATTGTAATGAAACTCCATATGAAATCTCTTGAATATCAGATTAATCAGGTAGCCAGGTTGCACTAATATATGCCAGGTACAGTTAACACCATGGGGGTAGATATTTGGATGGCCAGGACTTTGAATGATTCCTGTGGGCTCTGTCAGAATTTTTCCACATGCTGTTAAAATAAAAATAATAATTGTCAGAAACAAGCAACCAACAAGCTACCTGAAATACAAAATAAAATAATCTGATCATAGCCTCTTAAAAGCTCAAAAAGAAAAAATATTCCTTATATGCCCCCTCAGGAAATCTAGTTTTACTCTTATTAATAGAAATCAATTAACTATTGATAGTTGCTGATTCAGAAATATATATATTTTGCTTTTGAGCGTACTTTAAAATTTTTACAGTGTAGGTGACTACACATGTACAGTGTCGATTAATTTTTCATAATAATTTATTTCCATTGTTCACTTATTCTGACATAAGCCCAAGAGAAAATCACTCACCCAAATCTGCCGTACTGAACTTGGCTATGAAACCATGATTTTCAGTAGAAGAACTTTTCACAAATATGACATGAAGAAAATTGTACACAGATGTTATAAATGAAGGTATTTCTGTGCCACAATATTTTTTATTTTCAATAGAACCCAAAATGGAACTGCTACCAATCTAAGTAAAAAACAAATATTCAAATATTTATTTTGTTAGATATTTATTTTGGAAGACTACTTCAAGAATCTCTGAAATGGTTTTATTAAAATAGTAAAAGCCAATTTCAGAACATTTTGGTCACCCCGAAAGAAACTCCAAGCTCATTAGCCATCACTCCTCTTTCCCCTCAAATCCCAGCCCCAGGCAGCCACCAATTTACTTTCTCTGTCTATGGATTGTCTATTCTGCATTTCAAATAGATGGAGTCGTACAAGACGTGGTCTCTTGTGACTGGCTTCTTTCACTTAGCATAATGTTTTCCAGGTTCACCCATGTTTAGCAGGTGTCATTACTTCATTCATTTTTAATGCCATGCAATATTCCATTGTATGACTATACCACATTTTATGAATGCATTCATCAGTTGATGGACACTTAGATTTGTTTCTACTTTTGGGCTATTATGAATAATAAT